GGTAGGTGGGCGGGGGAGGGTCTCACCCTTGCAGCCCCATGCCCCCAACAGAGACCTTCTGTGATGACAGGCTGCAAACTAATGAAAGCTGTTTTCTTGGACTACTTGTTTCTTTTTCTCAATGTGCCACTAATCTCATCATGCCCTGTAGCTCTTAGCTTCCGCCCCCAGACCAGTGGAAGGCTGCAAGAAGCTCCCATTGCAGTTTTTCTTATCTTTTCCATTCTTTTCTTCCCCAATAACACAATGTGGGGCTACAAGGAGTGAGACCACCCCACATGTGCGGGCGCACACACACACACACACACACACACACACACACACATACACACACAAATACATGCACGGGTCTGGGAGAGATGAGCTGAAAACCACACAGAGGCAATGACAGGGGAGAGGGGTCAAAATGTAAAGCCTCCTGCCTGGAGCCTCTGGCAGCTAAAAAAAATAAACCTGAGAAGCACTCAGAAGGCAGTCCCTTTCCCAGCTCCTTCCTTCCTTCCTTCCTTCCTTCCTTCCTTCCTTCCTTCCTTCCTTCCTTCCTTCCTTCCTTCCTTCCTTCCTTCTTTCCTCCTTCCTTCCTTCCTTCCTTCCTTCCTTCCTTCATTCCCTGCTTCTCTTTCCTTCCTCCACGTTCAGGAATAGATAATGGGAGGGGGAGAGATTGCCAGCACTGCTGGTGGCCATTCTGCCACTGGCCATAGCTATCCCATGCAGGCAAGGGTGGTCCCAGTGAAAGGGAAGCCTGGCAGCAGTGAGGCTAGGTCAGTAAGTGGGTGTGGAGTTGATCTACTGATGGGAGCATCAAAGCCAGAATGCACTCAGCCTTAGATCCATGGGGCAACCCTGGAGCCAGCCCCCTGGGGAAGCACAGAGAAGGCAGTGAGTGCACGAGTGCTGGTGTCCTGTAGGGAAGGGAAGTGCTTCTCTTGCCTTTTTTCTTTCTCAGTGGTCAGCAGGGATGCTGAGCGCTCGCTGCCTCCTCTTCATGTGCCCAGGGTATGGGGCAGGGGCAGCCCCCATTGGCCCTTTCTCTCCAAAACCTCCTGTTATATCCTCTCCTCTTTCCCCCCTCCTCTTCCTTTTCTCTTTAGGGCACCTCCAGCTTCTGGAAGTGCCAAACAGCTGGAGTCCGGCACTGATCCTGGGGCTTCTGCCGAGTTCTGACAGCACTGCAGCTCTGGCTGTCTCTTCCTCAGGCTTGTGCGGTGCTGCTGCTGCTTCAGCTCATTCATCTCCCCCACACTACCACTTCTCTAGGACGGTCGTGTACCACCTGCCAGGTGACAAAGTACACGTACCACTGGTTGAAAAGCCCTGCCATTGAGGTCAATCAAATGCTTAAGTAAAATACATAAGTAGGACATGTGAGTAATACTTATGCACTCATTGTTTATGTTTTCTAATTATTAGCAAAGACAGTTGACACTTCTGGGAGTTAAAATTCAACTAAACTAGAAGACAATAGATTCCTCATTCATGTAATGTTTAAAAATGACCATTGATAACTTTAACTTTCACTGTTTTTTACAATAAGACTGTATTTTGTTTTGCTAAACTTCCACTAAAATAAAAAAGTACACAATATATTTAAAATAAAACAAACAAAAGTTTAACTCATATAAATTCTCTTTTCCTTTGTAATGCAAATCATGTTGTCATTTGATGGTAGCATTTATTTAGCTGGAAAAAGCATATCTTTTGTTGAATTATTTTAACCAGGCAGTAAAACTGATTTCAAAAGAAAACTTCAAGAAATAAAATATGAAGTCTTTAAATAAGTCATGCTCAATGTCCCATGAGTCAATAAAATTACTGTGTGGTTTAGACTGATATTATATTATTTAATAGGACTGAGCAACAGTCTCTTGCAAATCTCTTATTCCAACGGTAATATCCTTTTTCTAGTGAAAACAGCAAAAAACAAGAAGATATATTTGGAGATGCTAATGATGATGAAATTAAGATCTAAGAAAACTTGCATAAACTCTGAACAGACTAGATTTTATTAGAATGCTTAGATTTTGTAATTATAATTGTGTTGTGAGATAACTTCCCTTAAGACTTACTCTTTTCCTTTAATACATATTTATCAGTAAGATCATGATAAGGTCTAGAAGGTGTAAGTATGAATTTTAAATGAAATGTTCCCAAAGAACTTTACTATGAAATAGAAAAAGGCAGAATCTATAGTTGCATATTATGAGTGGAATTGGCATTCTACAGATGTAAACCTGGATGGATAAAAACCAAGGGCATTGATCTTTATACAAAGTTATGAAAAATTACTGGATGGAATCTTGGTACTAGCAAGTTCAAAATGTACTTTGAAACTCTAGGCAATGTGTACAATTCCCTTTCTTTTATCAATCCATCTAGGTCAGAACAAAGTTCCTTTTATCTTAAATGAAATCCAAAGCAATGGTTCTCAATATTTGGTTTATAGGCCCCTGGGAGGCCACAATGTCATCACAGGGGGTCTGCGAAGTGTGGAAGAAATGTTGTGATTTAAATCTTGAGTTAGGTTTTGGGGGTCCTTGGCCATGGTCCATGGCCACAAAGGTATTTAAAGTGGATTTGTGGTGAAGAAAAGGTTGAGAATCACTGAAATAAAGTATTCTGACTCAACTAAATCCTTGAAAGCATGCTCTCATCTCTGCACATGAAGATAATATGCAGTGTCTTCTAAGTACTGAACTCTGCATTTTATGCCAATGGCCACAATTTGGCTCTAGACCAGGGTTGTCAAGCTGCTGAATATGTCATGCCACAGGCCGGATGTGTCATGCCGAAACCATACCCACCCCATTGCTGGCAATGGAAAAAAAGTTGTGATACCTCATGGCACATCATGTGACATTGCGAGTTTGACACCCCTGCTCTAGACCCTTATCTCTGGTCACCCCTCCAGCAACCAAAGTCAATATGATTAAGCATGTTTTACAGCTTAGAATTTACCAACTTGTTGAATCTGGGACAACATTTGGATTTTTTAAAAAGTGTATTAACTGCACTCCCCACCTCACAACACTTTGCTTCTCCAACAACAGTTATGTGCAGGGGAAAAAAAAACTAATTTCACAGAATACATATTATTGAGACTTAAAAGCAAACAATTACTTTGAAGCTGTGGAGATTCTATTTCTTTGAAGTTTCAGAGTTTGGGTCTGAGACCTAAAGAGGTAGGGGGAAGGAGGGGAGAGATTCCTTGAAGTGTCATATTAAAGGCAGCCATGGAAAACTGATTCACAACCTGCCGTAAGAAACATATCTGTAACTGCAATGTATATTTTTGATTATCCCTCAGAAGTTAAAGAAAATAAAATCTCTGTTTACTAATCAAGAAAGTTACAAAATATTTCCAATAAAGACTCAGCATTTGAGATACAACTTATGTCTGTTTTTCTTTACAGCACTGATATAAATGCAGATTTGATAGTAAACAAATGAATCGGGATCATACAATATAACTCCATTTGATTTTGAAATTCATTTTCTTTTTTCTTTTCATTTTTTGTTGCTGAAACATTGCATGAGCCTATGATACCGTGCTAACTCAACCACCACCACCAAAATCTCCAGCAATTTGTTAATGTAGATACCTTTCCTTATTTCCTTTAAAGAAAACTGACTATTATGAAGAAATAGCCTTGTCATTTTCCAGCCTAACTTAAAAAGAGAATTGTATATCCATGTAACCCAGGATATTCCACCAAACACTAATGTAGTTGTTCCACAAGACCTGGCTAAATGGTCAACTCTATCATAAAGTTCCACCATTCCCTGAAACATTGAACAGATATTTCAGGGGAAAGTGATATTAGGAAAGGCTTTTCAGTTTTAAATAAATATTCAGGATGAGTTAGCATTTCTAAAGCACTGTTATACTTGCCATGTTCCACTGCTTTGCTTTCTTAAAACATTCCCTGCAGTGTGAGTGGCTATGATTTATTTATTTTTGGCCTGGTCGGGTCATAATCTTGGACAATCCTTAGAAGTGCTAAATATGACCCCCAGTTCATGTTATTCTTGAAGGAACGTTTGAAGTATCCCCAAGGTGTGAAGAGATAAGAAGCTTACTGATGATCTGTAGTTAAGCTACCATCAAGAATTTGATATGCCTCGAGGCATTACTTTTCCGACGTGAATCTGTAGGATTGGTATAAGCTTTCTTCAGTGGTTAATTACTTTTGTGAAATATATAGGTCCTATCCCTAGTGAAACAGAACCTTTAATATTCCCCTTGACTTTGTCATTTCTTAAGAACAATTAATCTGTTTTATGGGCCCGACCTTAGTATCCGGCTTATACTGACAAAGTTGAGCAAAACATGAGACTTCTTTATTAGACTTTTCCCAATGATGTGCTGTGCCTGACCTCTGTATTTATGGCTTCCTCTTAAGAAATTAGACAACCTTGTAGCTATATTTTATCTCCCTCTGCTATGCTTCTCCAAGCTAACATAGGAGGCATATCTGCATTAGAAGCTACCAAATCTGTGATCATTAGCATTTGATTTTTTGAATCATTTTACAGAAGGACAGCCAGGACTTATTCTCTTAATTACTGCTGCAGTCCTTTCTACTATAGGCTGGACAAATCTGTTTCATTTATCTGCTCATATTTTGAGCCACATTTGTGCCTCACTGTGACTTATTCTGTGGCCCTTCCTGGACTGACTGTAGAGGAAGACATTGAATTACAAAGGCCTCTTAAAGATCAGCTAAACAAAGTTAGGAGCCTGTGAGATACTTGACAGAAAATGGAAGCTGATCAGACATCATAGTTTAAAAGGCTATTCCTTTGCCTTCAAAACTGTACTTTAGCCAAATTATCTCCCAATACAATATGTGATGGAATTCTTTTAAATCCCTAATTTAGATTTAGTTTGCTTTGCTTTTGCCATTGAGATGGAACTAACCTAGCCTGGTTTATTTATTTTTTTAATCTACTCTTATGTTTCCTTGAATATGCTTGAATTCTACATGAACCTGTTGCAGAGTGACTTGTGGTGAAGAGATGGGCCTTCTGCTGGTGTCTTCTGCTTAGAATGGGAACGATAAACTTTGTAGCAGCAATGACAACATTATCCCTGGAAAGGCATATACGCAGTGGTGGAATTCAGCCAGTTCGCACTGGCTGAACAGGTAGTTAATTTTTTGTTGCCCAGGCCCAGAATGGACTTCTGAAAGTGGCATCCAAACAGAGAACCAGTTGTTCACATATTTGAATCCCACCACTACATATACGGTAAGAGAACCTGGCAGTGGAAGATGTGGAAAAGACTATCAAAGTGATGGAGCAAACACACACACAGGAGGGAAAGTCGCTATTGAGGATGCTGTTGATTCACCAATCAAAAATAATTACCATTGCTTAGCTTGCTTGACTCTAACTAGAACCAGCAAAAGGGCTGCCAGTGTCAGGGAAGAGCTCAAATAGGGCATGATCTGGTTTATTGTGATAAATTGCAGGTGTGTGGCTTGAAAGGGGAATGCTGTGTTCTCAGAAACAAAAGCCTGAAAAAGAGTGGAAGGGACTGTTCCCAGTTTACAGTGAAGGCAAAATACCCTATGTACAAATTTCTTTTCTTTTTAAAAGAATCTTTAAAAAGCTCCAAGGTCTTTTTTTTTTTTTTTTTGCTATCTTTTTAGGTAGATAATTCACCTAAATAAAGAATACTTAAGTTAATAAAATGTTACTGATAGAAGCAATAAACAAAAAATAAAATAATAAATAATAAAATAAAATAATAAAGGATATATTTATATCCGCATGATACAAGTTTAGAACAAATGGCTAAATATGCCAGATAAATTACTGATGGTGAATTACTTGCCTATATCTATAGCCCAAACAAGAAAGCTGAATATTATCATTAAATCACAGACATCATCAGTAATTAGTGAATGGTTTTCAAAATCATCAGAAAGTTTTTTTTTCAAAACTCATTATGCCCAAATAGCAAACAAGAAAAGTTACTTAAGATGCATCCTGACTATTAAAAGGGAAGAGTTTCTTAGATGTTAAGTTTTAAAATGCAGTGCTAGCTGATGGGAAGCAAGATGATTGGAGTTTGCCAAATGTTCTTGGCAAAGCAGATGGAGAGGTAACAATCTTGCTAAAGTGACTTGGCTCTGTCTTCAGAATATCCATAAAACATTCAGAATTACTTTTTAAATTCACTTAACTATAGTACTGTAGAAAACTTCTCTTTGACAGAAGCTCAGCTCAAATTCTTCTATAATCTAGTTTAAATAGTTGAATCCCCGATTCAGCTCAATTTCTTCTATAATCTAGTTTAAATAGTTGAATCCCTGATTACATTTTAATATTTGTGTCATCGTTCTGATAGATGAGGCCAACTAAAACAGAACTCTGAGGCTTGAGTTTTTTTCTAAGAACATGTTTATTGGCTACAAAGTATTGGCATGATCAAAAGTAAAACCAAGACTAAAGTTCCCACCAAAAAGGTACATTATTACAAAGTTAACTTCCCTCCCCAGAAACTATGCAATGAACTACATTTTCCAATAGAATAGTTTGGCGGGCTTTCTAACATAATGCTCACTCCCCAGTCTAACGAACAAGAATGACCTTGGTTTCCATGGGACAGAGAATTGTTTAGACTAACATAAATCTCCCTATTCCTCCCCCCTTCTTGTGGCAACTGAAAACGAGCAAGATGGCTTCAGCCAGCTTTATTGCAGAATTGACAATTTGTTTTCTTAATTAGATTCATGTGTTTAGCATTGACCTTGAAAAGCTTTGATGAGATATTCAAGATATGATAATCTCTTCAATGCCATCTCTAAAACTTTAGTTCTAATTCATTTTAATATTAGGTTGAAAACAGTAGGACTGATAGATAGATAGATAGATAGATAGATAGATAGATAGATAGATAGATAGATAGATAGATATTTCTAAATATTCACAATTAGATTACTTCATCTAATGAAATGATTAATTTTACTTCTGAAAATAATCTGATTAGCACATAAACTGGCAATTCTGATGACAATATAATTCATTGTTTGACTATTTCGGGGAAAGTAGAATTAGAAGATTACCTGCCAGCTGACTCTTGCCATTTAATTTTTGTTTTATAAGCTCCACACAAAAAACAAAGTTAGGGTTCTTTCTATTATTCACCCACCAAAAACTGTTTGAAAATTTTCCAAGGCCTCCAAGTGATATGCTACTATAATAACAGAAGGCTAGATGGGAAAGTCCTTTGGGCAGATCATGGCTCACTATCCTTTATGATCATGACATATTACCAACTATTTGAAGCACTTATCAACTTCTGCAACATTTGATTGTATTTCCTGATGGTGGTGTTTACTACTCTTTCTTGGGGTTTGATGGATAACTTAGGGCCAGTCTTTCTCACCTCACAGTGTTGTTTCTACAGAGAAAATAGTCAGAAGAAGGAGTATTAGGTATGGTTATTACCTTAAATTAATTATAAAAATAATAAAGACAGGATTAAAATCTTTAGAAAAACCCTGATCCATTAAAAATGCAAAATAACAGTCACATAATTATTACCTCTATAAAGTGTCTGTCTGTCTGTCTGTCTGTCTGTCTGTCTGTCTATCTATCTATCTATCTATCTACCTACCTACCTACCTACCTACCTACCTACCTATGTCTGTCTGTCTATCTGTCTGTCTTTCTATCTACCTATCTGTCTGTCTTTCTATCTACCTATCTGTCTGTCTATCTATCTATCTATCTATCTATCTATCTATCTATCTATCTATCTATCTATCTATCTATCTATCGCTATTGCCAGCTCTATAATTGAAAAGACTATAGTTTTTTTCATTTACATATACCAATAGTCAGATCCCGTCTTCCAAATTTACATTCTGAAACCCACAACCAAAATAGATAGAAAAAGAACAAAAAAGATAATCTTATCATGACCTACTGAAATGAAAACTGTTTGGATAGCTCAAAGGCTGTAATAAAATTATTGTGGTCAGGTAACAATGTGGAATAGCTGTTTGTTCAGGAACAAACATCTTTCTCCCTCTTTTTACCTGGCATAGCTTATTGAAATGGGAGCCACCACAAAATATGGTACATTATCTTATAATATATTACAATATTATGAAATATCTTGGGCCAAATGCACCACGTAATCAAGATCACGTGAAGTATTAATACCACTCTTCAATGCCTTGGTAAGGCCACACTTGGAATACTGCATCCAGTTTTGGTCACCACGATGTAAAAAAGATGTTGAGACTCTAGAAAGAGTACAGAGAAGAGCAACAAAGATGATTAGGGGACTGGAGGCTAAAACATATAAGGAACGGTTGCGAGAATTGGGTATGTCTAGTTTAACGAAGAGAAGGACAAGGGGGGACATGATAGCAGTATTCCAATATCTCAGGGGCTGCCATAAAGAAGAGGGAATTAAGCTATTTTCCAAAGCACCTGAATTAATCAGTGGAACAGCTTGCCTCCAGAAGCAGTAAATGCTCCAACACTAGAAGTTTTTAAGAAGAGACTGGACAGCCATTTGTCCGAAATGGTGTAGGGTTTCCTGCCCGAGCAGGGGGTTGGACTAGATGACCCCCAAGGTCCCTTCCAACTTTACTATTATTATTATTATATAAGTAGTTTTCCTTTCATTCTAATCTTACTGTTGCAGGAAAGATGCAGGAAGACATTGATCTCTCAAAAAGGAGATAATTTCCTGTTTTCAAAAAACTTAAAATGAGATGGAGAAAGAGAGAGAAACACAAATAAATGCAATGAAACCATTGAGGAGATTATTGACCTGAGTGAAACTAGATGAGCTAGAAAATATATTTCCTATTTGTCCCAAATTGTAGCTTTTCATTATTGGTTTGTATCATGTTATCTAGGGAAGAATTGTTGTTCGGTGCATATTTAGTACAGGAAATCAGACTCATTTACTTTATATACCTTGGGAGGTTCATATCCCTCCACAGAAGCAATGAATTGGATTTTGTTATGAAGAATAATGAGCAAAGTAGCAAAAGTGAAATAATGTTCTTAAACAGACATAATTGAACTAGCATTGTAAAACTGAATGTCGTCAATCTTAGCCTGCAAAATCTACAGTTAAAACTCTGCAGGAACAGTTAAAAATTCTCTTTACCCTACCAAAAATTTTACCCGAAGCCATTGTTATTTGAAGCTAATAGACTTTGTGGATTTCTTTATGAAATAGCTAAAAGTATATCTCCTTGATTTTCTCTAATGCAGGGTTTGGCAACACTGAGCCAATAGACCAGGTATGACCTGCCATCATAAATTATCTAGCCTGTGGTCCTAAAAATATTCATTCAACCTGCAAAAGAAAGACATCATCATCTCATCATGAGTGAAAATGGTGGTAGCGGCATGACCTTTGGTCCTGTACAGAGGAAGTTTGCTGATTCTTGCTCTAATAGGACTATAGTGGCACACAAATATATTTTTAAATTACATCTCATGTTGGCAATACAGAGGAAATACCGTCTGTATTTTCTTCCTTTTTTCTTTTTCTTTTTTATGATTTACATCTCTGTACATTTCATTGCCACCAAGAAGGCATGACTCTGGGATCTACCAAGACAGCATTGCTGGATAGAAGGGACTTGGACAATGTCTTCTCTGCTAGATCTTTTGCGTTATGAAGAAACAATGGAAGAAAGTTGGCTCTATACCATGAAGGGCTTCATAGATGATGACCAGCACCTTGAATGGTACCTGGAAGCCTACTGGGAATACTGCATGTCACAGAGCTGCAGTGTTACACAACTGCAACAGGAACTCCAAAACTGCCCACATCACTGTTTTCTGGCTCAGCATGCTTCCAGGTGCTCTTCCAAGGCAATCCCATGTACAGCACTTTGCATAATCTAAACAGAAGGTGAGTAAGGCGTGAGTCACTATGAGGAAGCCTTCCCAGTCTGAGGATAGATACAGTTGGTGAAAAAAATCAATCTGTACAAAAGCCATCCCAGCCACAGCTGCCACCTGCTGTTTGAACAGGAGCCAAGAGTCAAGGAGGAACCACAAATTGTGTAACAATTCTGACTGGAAAGTACACCCTCATGCACAATTAAAAATGGAAAATCCTTGGAACTGTGTGGTCTTCACACAACCCAGTCTTGCCAGGATTGAACCAAAGTTTGTTCTTCCCCATCCAAATTTTCAGCCTGCAGGCACTGGAAAGGATCCTGTGTCATTTAACACAGGATTTTGACAGCATCATTTGATAGAGGGAGGAGATGTACAATGGATATCATTGGTGTTGTGATGAAATTGCAATCCATGCTGATTGATTACTTGGCCTAGGGGCTTTGTGTAAATATTAAATAGAAATGAGGAATGGAGAAAGAGTGAAGCCCTGAAGCACCCCACAAAGTATGGGCCTAGGGCTCAACCCCTCCCTCCACTAACACCTCCAGATCTAAAATATGAGGTTATTTGATTTTTCTTTCTACAGTTATTGCTTGCAGAATAAGTTTGGTCTATGACATGAAAGCTGTCCCAGAAAACCATAGTTAAGCTCTCTTGAAAGTTTTCAGCTTTACCTAGAATTTTGGAGAAAATATGAAGACTATGAAATATCAAGGGGCATATTTAATTCTCGCTCTCTTATTGAAGAACTGGGAACTAACGGAAGCTTACTTGTAAATTATAATAGGGGATGCAAACACAATTCTGATCTATGGCATTCAACAGTTTCTTGCCAGAATTCATGTGAAGTTCACTCTCAGCCATGAGTAAATCATTGTTCCAGGGGGAAAAAAAAAAAACAGGATAAGAAGCCCTTATTTTTTTTTAGATAACATAAAAAAATATGAAAAGCAATTTAGCATTGGACATCTTATCACTAGCTGTGATGTCTTGTTATATATTCCCTGAAGGATAACAATGCAGGTGTTTCAAGTAGCTCTTGAATCACATCAAATTCAAGCTATTCAAAGTTCCCATTTTAAAAAAAACCTTGCCACTCCGCAAGGCATTTACATATGGTAACAGACTTCACATATGGCTCCCATTTTCCCATACACACTAGTTTAATCAAACTGTGCTAAATATTATTTATTTATGTGTTCGTTTATAGATAGCATTCGTAGCAATTTTCCTGCAAGTGCAAGTTTCCTTTTTTGGGGATCAACTCTGTTGATCCACTGGTTTTGCCTGGAATTGATTGACTGACTTGTCATCCAAGTTATGGGTTAGCTTTCATACTTAAGGAGGGATTAGAACACAGTCTTTTTGGTTTCTAGCCTGGTCCCTTAATCACTAGAGCAAGCTGAATCTTGTTGTATACATATATTTAATATTGTAAATATTAGCATTATTGAGTCCATCTATCCTGATTCTGATCATCAGCTTCTCATCTTCTTTGGGGAGCTATTTGTTTATTTGTTTGATGATTCATTGGTTTGTTTCCTTGGCTGTATTCTCAGGAACCTTCTTTAAGACCAAATTTAAAAGCATCAGTGCTCTTTTGCAAATATATAGAATAATAAAAACTGCTGTACACAATGAGATGAACTGTTGAAAAAGAAAACATGCACCAGAAAATAAAGTGAACTTAAAACTACAGTTAGAAAACATTAAGGAAGATGTTCCTGAATGGTTCATATTGTTTAGTAGATGCCACTAAGATTGCAGGTGTATGCAATTTCTTGGCAAAATTGACTTTACAGTGCTTTTATTTTTATTTTCTTAATTATTGCTTCATTTGAAGCTCACACATTATTTTGTCTATTCTGTATATCCTCCGGGATTTTTAGAAACCTTGAAAGCTGCATTTTTGCTTTGTGGAGAATGCATTCTAATTGCTAGTTTGACAACATATAATAATAGAAGAGCATCAGTGAATGGGAAAAAAAAGACCAAAATATGCAATTATTTTATAAAAAGCTTTTTTTTCCCTTGAGGAGAAAAAAAAGTGCACTTACTGTCTATGACCAAGGAAATGTTGAGCTCTGTATGTAAATTACTCCCCCCTTTGTGTTTATTGGAATGGATTGAACTTGAAATGACATTAAGTAATTTTGATACTGTGTGGAGAGGTGATCAAGGAAAGTTACCATTGCGCATTATCACAAATCCTTATTCTTCCTACCAATAAATCTTTGAACTCAAATTGTAAAATATAGCAATAGCATCTGCAATTTTTATTTAAACATTTCTTTTATTTTTCAGTAATATTGATGCCTGAACATCCATGCAAGCCTATATAATAAATCTGCAGTTTTTGAGTGCCCTTCCCAAACTTATGGTGTATTCATTTTTTTAAATTGTTTTATTTTGCATCAGAGGTGGGCAAAGATAGCCCATTGGCACATGAGTTCCCCTACTTCTCCTTTAGTGGTCCCTAAGACTTCTTCTGGGGGTTGAAAACAAACAGAATAATGTTTTAACTAATTTGAAATGGGAAACATATGAAAACTATAACATCAAGCCTAAAACAAATTACCTTACAGTTTTTTTTTTTAAAAAAAACAAAAATAAAAAACATCACCCCATTAGTAAGCCCCATAGTAAGCCCCATTACAAGAATGATATGGCCTTACCATCTTCCAACTCTGGCTGCTTCTCCCTAAAAATTAAATGTGGTTGTTGCTCACTGAAATTTACCATTCCTTATGGGCATACCTATTCCTCATTGTTTCAAAGTATTAATACTTCCTTTGGGAAGTATTAATCCTATGGGAGTTTCCTTTGAAAACAGAGAAAATAGAAACATGGAATTCAGGCAAAACAAAAGAATACTGCTATAGTTTGGATTTTTCCATACTCTGAACAAATCCATCAAAGTTACTGAAAGTATCAGGTGTGAAAAATTAGGACCACATGTAAAGTTCCAATTAAACTAAATGGTGCCAGATATATGGGACAAGTAACACCACTACTGTGGGAGCTACTTTGAAATAAGATACCAGCTTCTCATAGGAACTTGGTAACTTAAAAAGGTAAGTGGCGATAAAGAAAATTATTCAACTAGTATTTTAACACAGTCTTGTATGATAAAAAATGTATTTCACCACGAAATTGTAGAGAGTAAGGTAAAGGTACAAGATTGAAGCTTGAATTTGAAAAGAACATGGTTAGGCAACACCTCTCCACTTTGAGTAATTTTAAATCTCTAGGGCAAGATGAACTGCAGCCTGGTGTTCAAAGAAATTAGCTGATAGTTTGGCTGAAATGTCAAATATTATTATTGAGAAATCATGGAGAGTTGATGAAATGCCAAATGACCGAGAAATACTGTTCCTTTCTTTTAAAAAGTGGAAAAAAAAAGGTAATCCAAAGGCTTTCAAACCATCCAGCCCCACATGATAATCTTGGAAGATTTAAACATATGTATTAAATAGTTTCGGACAAAACTCAGCAGCACTTTTTCGTGCGGCTGCTGATAAAAAAAAGATTGCCAACATGATCGCCAACGTCCAATAATGGATATGGCAAAGAAGAAGAAGATTAAATAGTAGTGACCCATATATCATTATATACAGACTATATTAACATGCTTCAAATACCTGAAAGGAAATCACAAAATAACTATTTTAAAACAACATATGATTTCATGTTTTTTAACTTCTACAAAGTTAATTGTTTCCTGCTGTATATACCATTACCATGTGCCAGATAATTCAAATATTTTACTTGACCTGGATTGAAGAAGTTAAGCTTTATATACACAGTGAAAGACAGGCTTTTCTTTTTCACATTCTTGTCTGCTCAGTTCAGAACCTTTGGGGGATCAAGAGCACGGTGGTTGCTATATTACTAGGATGGGTCTGCTTAGTTCTTCTCTCCAGTTTAATCTTTTGGAATTTCTCATTGTGGGAAATTGTGGCTCTACATTTCTTTCTGTTATTTATCCAAGTACTTTAGCTCCTAGTAACTGTCCATTTTTAGAATGTTTACTTAGAGATATTAGCCTATAGGTTAATACACTCTTAAAAGCTTTCATTGGTAGGCGTACCATTTCTGAGAATCTGTATCTTTTTGCTGCCTTCTAGATTTTTTTTTCTTGTTTTGGAAAAGTATGCATGATATTCATAGTCATTGGGAGAAACCCATGCAGAAAAGAAGCAGTCAGCATGGTAAGATTCCGTGTTTCCCAGTGGACCCTTTAATTAGGCAAGGATCTAAGTAGAATTTAATAATATCAAACTCTGATGCAAAACCTGCTTTTTGTTCCAAATTTTAACATTCATAAAAATGACAGCAACAACAATAACAACAACAACAAAAAACCCAATCCTGATTTTAATTCAAAGATTTTTGCCTACATGCTATTTAAATTAATCTTTCCCTTTTTTGGATCAATATTTAAAACAGCTATAATGAGAAAAAAGTGTTAGAAAATATATACTTGCTACATATAAAAACTGTCCTGGAGGTCCAACTTATAACATTATCTGATCACGATAGATAATACAAAGGTTCTTGAAAAGGGATTTGAAGAGTGGCTATATTGATATTGAAAGTGACAGGTGTGCTTTATTCAAATCTGTCTTTAATTAAGAATGACAGATGAAATGCAATTCATCTTATGAAGGGTATCTCAAGCCATTTACACTACTTGAGATAATATTAGCTGACTGCCTCTGTTCTTTCCATCTATGTCTTACCCTTTCCATTTCAGAAGAGAAAAAAAAAACCTTATCCCTAACCATTGAAGAGTAAAAGACACATTTCTAAAGTCCAAAAAGATTCTTGGTTAAGATATATATTTCAAATTTTGCATAATTATACCTGAAAAAACATTGCCAAACTGAAATTAATAGAAAACAAGGGGATGTAGGAGCTTTAAATCATCTTTTTGTCAAACAGAAATGTTTTACTTTTCATAAATATTTTTTTTTCAGAATTGTTTGTGTATGTGTACATCTTTGCATATTTTGTATAGGCAAAATTATACTAAATAAATGATCGGGTAAAATCAAAAAGAAAGAAGAAAAAGAAAAGAAAAGAGAGAAAGATTAAAGAAAAGAAAAAGAAATTAAGCTAAAACAACTTAATGTCATACACTGTATTGCTCTGTGCCTTTCTCTCTTTCCAAAGCACAGGTGTCAAACTCACCACATCATGTGATGTATCGTGACTTTTTTCACATTGCCGGAGTTGGGGTGGGAGCGGCCTCTGCATGATGCAACTGGTCTGCGGGCCGGAAGTTTGACACCCCTGTTCCAAAGGATCCCTTACACAAGTCACATTTTCTCTCAGCTGTAGTAATTTAGGCTACTTCTTCTTGTTGTTGTGTCATATCCGTTATCGGACGTTGGCGATCATGTTGGCGATCCTGTTTTTATCAACAGCCGCACGAAAAAGTGCTGCTGAGTTTTGTCCAAACCAGTCCCTTAGATTTTGAAGCCACGATGTTCTTCTTCTGCCTGGACCTCATTTGCCTTCAATCTTTCCCTGTAAGATTAAATGGAATATGTCATATTTTTCTGGGTGTCGCATCACATGTCCAAAATATTCTAATTTTCATTTTTTTATTGTTTTGATGATTTCCCTTGGCTTTCCCAGGCAGCTTATCACCTCCTGAGGCTACACAAGAGAGCAACAGTGACTTCACTTGTTTTCTGGAGTAATTGAGTAACTTACCAGGGCAGACATTCCTTCAGGGCCAAGTTAGCTACTGTACTAGGTGTATCTTGAGATTGTGTTAAAAAAAAGAAATATTTTTTTTTCTGGATTGCCATTCTGTAACTGTATTGTAAATGGTAAGACCAAAAGTAGGCAAACTCAAGGGCTGATCAAGGCAGATAAGTCAAATTTAGGTTCCAAAGGGAGAGAACTTTTTTTTTTTAATTTTCATTTTTTTTTCAGAAGGAAAGAATTATCCTGTTGGGTAATGGAACATTGATGGAAAACCATCATTTTTACTTTAGTCTTCCCTTGGATACAGTTGTCTAGTTTTAGATAATAAAAATTATCTTTTTACACAATTTCTCTCTTTCCTATACAATTGTTCTTTACATTAGTTAGTTGGCCTAGTTAAAGTTATCTTTAGTAAGTAACTTTATTATGACAACTATGCAAAAATGCAATTAAAATGATAGTAAAAGAGTAAGATTGTAAAATAGTGTTGGATGTAAAAAAGAACATTACAGCAAAACAAAGCCAAAGTACAACTAAGAACTTAAGCATTTCTTTTTAAGTTTGAATGACAACAGAGCAAAAGTAGCATATTTGCTGCTTGCAGCTGGAAGAAAAGTTTTTTAAAGTCTGAATTCTTGGCTTCACCTTTCATCAATAATTTGGCCCTGATATGTTTGCAAATGGGATAGTGAACAACATAATGGATAATGTCCTTTTACCTGACCATAAGGACATAGATTTTATTCAACAGGACACTTGCAAAACTTCCTTCAAGATAAGCAGAGGGCGTGGTCTGCAGATGAAGGTTGTTAAAGCTCTTCTCAATGGAACACTGGTTATATGCTTTTAATAGGGATGGTGCCAAAATAAAAATTTGGATGTTTAAATTGCTGTGGCATCTTTATTGGCATCCCTTTCAGATAGCCTAGCTTTAATATTTTATCTTTTCCAAGAGCTGTGTTCTCTCAAAGATAGTAGGATAAGTGACAAATGTTTGGCTAATTGATTGTCAACTGTAATAATAATAATAATAATAATAATAATAATAATAATAATAATAGTAATGTGCAATGATCGATAATAATAATAATAATAATATATAGCCAAGATATTGTTATGGAGTTTGGCTTAGACAAATGTGCCACACTTACTATCAAACAAGGAAAAGTAGTGAAAACTGAAGGAATCAAGATGCCCCACAAAAATAACATTAAGAGTCTGGATGAGGAAGAGTACTACAAATACTTGGGTATCCTTCAAGCTGACAACATCAAGCACACTGAAGTCAAGAAAAAGATTAGAGGTGAATACATCAAGAGAGTGAAGAAGATCTTAAAGTCCAAACTCAATGGAGGAAATACCATAAAGGCAATCAACACCTGGGCAATTCCAGTCATTAGGTACACAGCTGGAATAGTGGATTGGACTCAAGCAGAACTAAAAGCCTTTGTAACTAAAAGGCTTTGTAATTTCTTGTAGTGCCACAACAATGAAAGATGTATTCTAATGTTCAGGGAAGGTAATCCAACTTCCATCATTACATAGGCAGTATCAGTGGAAGGCCCAAAAATATTCCTTAGAAAGTTGCTTTGGATGACTTCCACATGGGCAATAACCTTCTTATCG